AAATTTCCTGATTTTATCAAATTAACTTGTACCTAATTAGTTAATTAATAATGCAAATTCTCCTTTTTTAAGTACTTCTAGTAAATATACAAGTATCTCCAAGTGATCTTTCTAAATCATGTTTGTCTTTTAGGAAATATCCATTGCATCCCTCTAGTTAGAAATAACTATGCTTGAAATTTTGAAGCTGACCAGCTGCTACTTTTAATTTGGTGATGGACATCCATTTCTTCAATTTCGTTTGCTAAACTGGCAGGTACACTATTTATCTTTATCTTCAACCTTGATTATCTTATGTTTTTGTTCTTGATTATCTTATGGTCTTTTTTTATGCATAAAGGTAAGATGCCCAAATTCAACCATTAACTATAGTTGATAGACCCAATTACCTTCAATACAAAACAGAGATAAATCACCCTACTAAGTAATTAAATGGCACAAGCAAGTTATAATTTGACATATAACATCATGTCATGTCATGATTCTGTTAGAATCTTCCTGAATATATGTTGTTGAAATATCTTGTAGCCAGTCTCCTAGACAAAAATATCACCTTAAACAAACAATTTTAAGTCAATGCTATCCGTTGTTGTAGAGCTTTTCTTAGCTTGGTGAAGAAATCCCTAAGTAATTCACAGTTCAATTAAATTATCTTTTTCCAATTCAAAATTCTTTGAAAATAATGAATATTGAGAAAAATATTTCATTAAATTTATCATATAATAAATATTAAATATCTTAATTATTATTAAAAATATTAAAAGTTCAAATACAGAAATTAAAAATATCAAGAAAAAGGTTATTTTTCTAATAATCCAATAAATTAATAAGAAACCCAGAAAAACTAGTAAACCAAATACCCCAAAAATCCCCCTTTTCACACACCGTTCGTGCTAGGAGCTCCACAAACACAAAACACAATCAATTTCTGAATCCCTTTAGAACTCTAAAGCTTTCTTTGTTGCTGCTTGATGCAAGTGGTTGGGGATCTACAAAAGAAAGGAATTAGAAGAAAATTATGAGAAAACAAACTTGAAGCCAAAGAGAAACAGAAAGAGAAGAACCTTACTTTGATGTTTCAAGATGTCAAGATTGGAGTTCAGTACTCGATCTGTGGCCAAGAAAGCCAGTCATAACCCAAATGGGTTTCAGCAAAAGGCATTGAAACTGAAACAAATCAAGCAAAATAAGGGAAATCTATCTCAATATTTGAAGAAAATCATCAAAATCAATTTGAAATCTCAGGTAGTTAGGTTGAAATAAAGAGTTACTTTCCTTTGGAGTTCTGGCAAGGGAGAAAACGCAGAATAGAGAAAATGAAAGAGATGTAAGAAATCAGGTAGACGTGCCTAATTAAGCATGGGTTTTTTTAAATTGTACGTAACAAAATATAAAAATTGATATTAATTTTAATATTAATATTAAAGGAGTGAATTTAATTAAATAAATAATTAATTAAAAATTAATTTTTATTTTTTAATATAAATTTATAATAAAAAAATATATTTAATACATTTCTAATTTATACTTTTAAAATACAAGTTATACAAA